GGGTCGCTGTCTTTTAAGAACACAGCAATCACGCAGCATGGTAATCCAAAGCAAATATCTAATTTCAAATCCACCAGTCCCACAGACAAGACTTCTTCAATACTCCCACATAAGTCCCCCAAGGGACGTCTCTGAATTGCAATTCCTTTGATCTGCTGCCCAGCAGATATATTTGTGCCAGTGGGGTCAGTCTTTGCTTATTTACTGTCCCAGCGAGAGGCTCCGAAACCTGGGACTGCCCATTCCTCCAGCCCAGGCGTCTGTGACTGCGAGACAGCAGGTACCCATAAGCTTTGAAAAATGAGTGCAGGTCAGGAATCACTGTTTAAACAGTGTGGAACAGCATCCAAGGCGTCTTTGAGCCCTGAGGTCCCTGTTTCTCTTCTTACCGTCCCATTAGGCGGAAGCAGAAAATGCGCTAGGTTGTATGAGTGAGTTAAATATGAGATACAATAGGTAAAACATTAAACATATCTGAGTCACATCTAGATCAAATTCTAGTACTGAACCACCAATTAACAAATGTGTAGTTCTTCAGACCTGTCAAACCATAAAGCATAAAAATCATATTTGTAAATGAGAAGAATATAGGATGTGGCACTGAAATTACTGACGAAGCACTGCGTAATGTTAAACCGTCCCCTTAAGACCGCTTAACCTACCTTACTCACTTTCTCTTTAATTATTAGCTGTGGTCCCTAGAGGTGTGTAACATGCAGCCCAGCTTATAATAGTTAACAATTACAGGATTTTAGCAACACTTTCAGGATAATATGCACTTTAACAGAAGGATAAAATATGTATATGCTTAAAAGTGATATTAATCATTAGTCAAAGTGACCAAATTATAATGTACAGTCAACAATGCACCATTAAATATTAATACTGAATAAGCCTCAGTATTATAATGGAAAAATACATATATGCTTCTTAATAAACTAATAAACTTATAATAAATGTGTAATTTCAGTGAGTTGTTTTTAATGAGGAAAAATCATATGATAATGTTAAGAAGAAATCTTGGAACCTCTGTAAATTCTCATTCATAGTTGAAAAACTCCACACATAATTGTTATACGGCTGAAGTTCTGAGAAATCCCATAGCCTAACCAATTATTGTCTTGACAGGACTCATTCTCTGTTTCCCGGAGAATTAATCTCCATGGTAACATGATTATTACCATATCTGGTAATTTTGGTTAGGGGATTCTACATTTTTTTTACTGCAGTCACAGTTATCAAACAAGGGCAGCATGGTAGCGCAGAGGTTTGCTGCAGACCAGGGTGTGAGCTTCTGTTATGTGGAGTTTCCATGATCTCCCATGTGTCATTGCAGGGGTTCCTCTGAGTACCCTGCCCCCCCCCCTCCCCAGTCCAAAAACAGCCTAAGGTGCATGGAAGTTACCAATTCTGCCATAGGTGTGCATGTGTGAGTTGTGTGCCCTGCAGTGGGTTGGCACCCCATCCTGGGTTGTTCCCTGCCTTGTGTCCATAGGCTCCAGACCCCGTGTCACCCTGAATAGGACAAGCGGTTACTGAACATGGATGGATAGTTATCAAACTTGGATTACAAAATGGGCAACCCCAAGAATAGGGTACTGATTTAATATAGATAACAAGGAATTCCATTATAAGAATTAAATACGTAGCATATACAGCTTGAAGGTACCATATGTTTATAGACCGCTATATAGTATCAATGCAAACATTGAATTACCTGAAATCCAAATATTGAATCCTAAAAACAGGATTTTAAAAATATGTAGACAAATTTGTACTCATTGATACATTTAGATCCATTTTTGTCAATGATAAAGTTTTATGAATAAATTCACTTGAATGCCTTCCTTCACCAGTTGACATCGATTTTCCTGTTGACAAATAATTTTTATAGAAGCATTCGGTTGTGCTGCCAGGTTATGAAACACTCCAAAGTAAAAATCTACCAAATTAACGTTACAGACCTACAGTCACATATAATTATCTATTTATATTGATCTTTATTTCTACATTAACACTTCTGTTCCTGAGAATCTGCTAAATTTATTCCAGGCTCTGTGTTGATTTCATTGCTATTCCTGTTTATACTAAGAAAACTGTTCTGGGTTGTGATAAACTACTTCAACACTGTGCAGGTTGTGTTTGGTGAGGCAGTGATATTTATCACAATTAATCTTGCTAAACAGGTGACTCCGTCAATATGCTACACTGTGAATGAGTCGGAAAGATTTTCAACCAAACGACAGAGAGTATGGGAATTTTTGTTTACTGATGGGTATAATTGTTAAATCATGAATTCACACAAATATTTAAATGATGATATTTTGAAATGATATTCAAAAACCTTTCAATGCAACCAGCGGCTTAGGAGAGAGTTTGATATTGGGGAGGACACAACTTAATAATTGAAATACAAAAACCTATTTACTGGGGTGGGGGGGGGGGATGAGGCTAAATTAAGTACTGGGGGATGCAGGCCCACACAGTTCCTATGCTCCTGTATGCGATGGTTATTTAGTATTTGTTATATCTGTAGCTTGAATCAGATATGCGACATGGCCAGTGATCTCCATCATTGGCCTCACTCTCAACACATGACACTCACGCGACCTCTGAAGACTTACTGTAAGGTCTGCTGCACCCCCTTGTCAAGCGTGCTGTCAGACACCTGTTTCCTTCCCCTGTAGTGGCTTTATCAAGCAACGCAGCATTGGGAGGAGAATGTCATTTGTCCTATTCCACCCACAACTCTGTAGGTACCTAGCTGACAGCAGACGTCGCTGCGGAACATTGAGATCGAGAAATGCTCAGCGGTCGAATCCTCGCAATGGGACGCAAGCCAATTTACTCTGAGCCTCGTCCTCACAGGCAGCTATATGAGTCCCCACTCTATGTTACACCTACCAGACATGCCGTGTAGTTTAAAAATAAATAACACAAACATTCTAAGTTCAATTCCAAACTTTTAATGCCCTTTCTTTCAGAGTTATCAGGCATGGGTAAGTGAGTTGAAACAGGTAAACAACATTGCCTTCATAAGCCATTTGTTTTCTGTTTAATTGGATGTTGAACTGGCACGGTGGTCACCACAGCCTACTCCTGGTAGCTCCATATCCCCAGTATCCTGAAGTAATGAGTCCAAGGAATGAGCTATATAATGGGAACTGAATGGGCTGAACGTGGGTTTGACAACTCTCATCAAAGGTAGGCATGCTCTCTACTGCTATGACAGAGACAGCTGGGGCCTTTTGTGGAACAGCAAACAATGGCGTTATTTAGAAAACCCTGGAAGGTGGATCCGGGCCATGTTATGTAACTGTTCAAGGACTGAATTGCCTTTCATGAAATTATTCAGTGTCTTCGAAGTACCATTCTTCTTATGAGCTCTGATTCATCAGCCGGGTGCACTATATCTGCACCGTGGGAGGCGGGTCCCAGAGGAAAAGGGCAGACTTTTGTGCTCCCCAAAGGCTGTCAGACTGCCAGTCTGCGCACACTTTTGAACTGGGTATGAAAACACTGCTCCCAAGAAGCTTTCAGCACAGAAGAAAAATAATACTGGGTAAAATACACATATAATTATAGCACACAGACCATTACTACGAATGACCTCAAAAATTGGATTATAGAGAAATATTAACAGTAGCAGTACTAGTTGAAAGTAGTAGCAGTAGTACTAGTCAATTTGTGGAATGAATGCATGTATAATATTATCAGCCAGACTCAGTAATACATAAAAAGGAAGTTTAAAAATATGCAAGTCTTCACAGTTTCCCTGCAACAAAACTAAAGAAAACAGATGGACCAATAATCTCCACGATGAGTAAACTGGAGCACAGACTCTGCCTTCGCAGGCACTTGCAGTGACTCTGAGGCTTAGCACTGCATTAATGAATGCCCTCTTTTTATTTGCTTTCATTTTACTGAGCAACATTCCACACCGTTCCATTTAAAGTTCAACTCATGTCTCTGAATCCCATTCATTTCAATTGGCCCAATGTTTCCTTTTCCTATCCTGCAATAACCCATTAAAGAAGAAAAGGAATTTGAGCTGTTTGATTTAGGTTAGATTGAAAAAATCAACAGTTTAAAAGGAATAGGATTAAGTACGGAACGGAAATTAGTGGGATGCTAAAGATTGGAACAAGTCACTAAAAAAAGAATTAAACTGCCATAGGGGGGTCTATCAGAGATATCTCAATGATAAATGCAATCTTGTTATGTGTTAAGTAATGCCAGAGCATTGCTTTTTAGGTATGAACTTCAACCTTGCATTTCGGTGGTGCTGCCCTTCTTTTAACTTAACAATCTCAGCTGCCTCAGTCACTAATGCACCGGCCAGACAAACACCAATAATTATACCCCAATTGAAAGATCTTTGGGTCCCCTCTAGTCACTATCTTGTGTGCCCTGCACACTGCCACACAATCAACAGGCTGCTTATGAGAGTTCTGACACATGACCCAGGTACGCGTTTCTGCCACAAACCAGGAACGCATGATGTGTAGCTCAACATCATATTGTTTTCCTTGTTTACATTTAAAAATATTTTCTCCTAGGCTATGAATCCAACTCTCACAAAGGCTAATACAAGCTAGGATGGATTATTTCCAATAAGGAAATCTTCTTATTTGAAACGGAATGATTTCTCAATTACTCTTGTGATCAGCAGTACATTATAACACACATTAGAAACATCTCAGCACAGCAAAAGTGCATTACAGTGTGAATATCCTCTCACTGAGATGAAAGGGCAAGATGAAAAGCACAAGAATAAATATGTGTCATTACTTTGGTTGTATCCAAACTACACGAAATTGTTGTAATAAAAAAAAAAAATCTATATTTTATATAAAAAAATTACAGTCCCGTGACAAGCTGTTCTAAATACATTTAATGCACATAATTGTTTAATTATAAATACTAAGTGGTTGTTCTATTTTTATTTAGATTGTCCTGATGACTTAGCACAATGTAAAATAGAAATGACAATAACTTACTTTTTTCGTGTTTCGTATCGGCCAGTTGATCCAAGACTCTAAAAGAAAAAAAAAATCACACAATAAACTAAAACTATCTATGTATATAGAATACCTTTTCCTTAGGGGTTTTCTCATGTTTACATATCCACATACATAAAAGTGTGATGGGAAAAAATAATGAATAATTTTAAACATTTGGATTTTACATAAGTATCATATATGTTGATATCTTTATATTATGTTTTTGGAGATCATTACCATTATTATCCAAGGACACATGAATCCTAACTGAAATCATTAATGCAGATTAGTTGCCAAAGACTTGTTGGAACATATTTGGTCTCTGCATGTACAAACATGATGACAGACAAAAGACGACTTTTGCACAGAAAATAATAATTAATTCAGCGCATTATTTCTTGTTTATCATAGATACATTTTGGACGTTTGATTTTAATACATGGCTCATATTACAGCAATAAAGAATTACTGAGTCTCAACATTTGTCCAAGTGAAAGCAACCATGTAGTTAAGGGCGTTTTCCAAGATCCCAATGGCAATATCCATCTGCCGGCCTCAGGATTGAACTGGAGATCTTCCAATCACGGGCCCACAGTCCTAAGCTGCTTAGCCACCCCCTCAAAAAAACATTACATTGTAAATTTTATGTCAAACTGTTCATAGTCACCAATATACCCTTTGTATTATGCTGCGTTTCATTTGAACTCATAACTCGTAAATTCCAAGTTATTATTTGGAGATTTCAGCGGGGACGCCTCCTGAAGTCGGAATTCAGACTCATGAAGTCGAAGGAGTCGAACACAACTCCTACCTCAGAATTCAAGATGGCTACGTCCTTTATCAACAGAAGTGAAACCTGTAGTACAGTATTACACTGTTTATTATCACTCGTGTTTTATTTGTGGCTCATTACATTGGTCGTACATACAGTACTGTCTAACTGCTGTCTGTGGATGTGCTGCTACTGTGTTTTTATGCGCAAAATACCCACAAAATGTTTTGTTATCAATTGATATTGCTAACAATTACCCAGGCTAAAACTGGGGCCTATTTCAAAGCAGGATTTCTTGCTTACCTAGATAACTAGTCAGATTTAAGGTACTCTGGGCTAAACGTAAGTGAACGGAGATAAGGGGCATATAAACTGGAGTAAATTAAATCCGGCAAATTATCCGGCTAAGCATGAAATCTTTTTGAAACAGGTCCCTGGTATTGCTAAACGGCTTTTTGACTTGCTGTACTGGAACACAGTTAACTTGTGTGTGATGTCATTGCCAGCTAAGAGTTCCGACCTCTGAGGTAAAAGGAATGCATTAGTAAAGTTAAATCAACTTTTTTTTTTGATAAAGGATTAATCATCCATGTATCTTCAGAAGCAACCCATGGAAACACAGGAAGAAACTGCAAATTCTTCACAAACAAATGTGTACCACGAAATCGAGCCCAGACGCTTATGCTGCAGCCCACTCCTGTCAAATGACATGGCTGCTAGTAATTAATGTATCTCAATCAGCTGCACTAAAAGCTGCCCAAACACTAAACATATTTGGCCAGTTTCCCAGTCAAGGATTAAGCCTAAGCCTAGACTAGCTTTGAGTTTCAATGGTGAATCTCCATTGATACTGCAATTTAGTCCAAGACTAGGCTTAATCCTTGACTGGGAAACTGGCCCATTGTCTTGTCTTCACCAAAATGGTTGCTGGTCAGTACCAGAAAATAACAATATGTATTATGTGAATATTTATCTGTATACAAAAAAATAATTAATTAGTTTACAACTTGATTTTCTCTTATAAACGTGGAATGCCAGAACATTCTTGAAATGCAAACTGATAGAAATGACATGACAGTTATTCATTAATACACATATAATTCTGAATCCTGAACAAAATGTTTTTGTCTTTAAACCACATAATTTCTAAATTTTTTACATATATCTTCTTTAAAAATTAAAAACACCAAAATTCATACTGATCAAATATATTACCAAAATATTACCAAAATATATTGTAAGATGTAAGATGTATGGCAAAATGCTGCCTTATAATTTGTAGCTTGTATTTGTACCCAAGTGGAAATTTCTTTGAATTGTTCAGGCTTTTATGACTGGTGACATGAAGAGGACCTTCCCCGATTAGTACTACTACTTTGCATGCTTTTCAATCTTTAAAATAGAATTGCATTTCAAATTGCATTTTATGTCACTGCCTTTCCATTAAAAATGAAGAGTGGTGGAGTTTTCTTTAGAGATGAAGTAAAAACCAGTGATACTGCTTATTGATCTTTCCATAATGTCAGTGTCTGATGGCTCAGACAGGGGATGCCATCGGCATGCCAGTTATTTAATGTCACTGAACTTTTACAACTAATTCAGGGGTTCTGAAGCAACACCAACTGATGGTTTTCAGTTCACTTCTGAAAGGTCTATTATTCTCCCAAACACAACACAGATGTAATCAAGAAAGTAACCTTTTCTGTCTTAAAAAAACTGCACCCTGAAGAAGTCAGACTGAATGGCCTACATATTTTTATTTCCAAAACAATGTGGAACTTCTGTATGCCTTCATTTATATAGATTCTGTATGACAGGAATGGTGAGGCTATAAACAGGAATTTGCAGTGAAATAGCCACAAACAACATATTATACGCAGCAATTCATAATAACAATGTGTATTTTATATAAATTCCTGATTAGCTAAACCATCTTTCCCATATTATTTCAATGACCATTTTATATTTCCTAAATCCCACTATTTGGTATGTCTTCTTTTAAATTACACAACCCAGTCTCCAAAAGAGTTGGCATACTGTGTAAACCGTAAATAGAAACAGAATGCAATGATTTGCATAAACCCAAGTTTAATTTAAGTAGAATAAAAGACAACATATAACATGTTGAAACCAAGAAATTTATGATAAATATATGCTCAATTAGAATTTGATGCCAGCGACATATTGTGACAGGGGCACAAAAGATGGAAAAAGCTGCACAATGTTAAAACAAAACACCTGCTTGAATATCTCACAACTGATAAAGTTCATTAGCAACAGGTCAGTGAGATGATTGGGTATAAAAAGAGCCTCCCAGAGAGGCAGAGTCTCTGTGCAGTGAAGATGGGGAGAGGTTCACCACTCTGTGAAAGACTGTGTAGGCAAATTGTGCAACAATTTAAGAATAATGTAATATATTGCAAATAATTTGGGAATTTCATCATCTATGGTATATAATATCATTAAAAGATTCAGAGAATCCAGACAAATCTCTCTACACAAAGGACAATGCTGAAAACCAATATTGGATAGCTGTGATCTTCTAGTCCTCAGGCAGCACTGCATGAAAAACAGACACAGTGGAAATCACTGCATGGGCTCAGGAACATTTCCGAAAACAAATGTCTGTGAACACAGTTTGTCACTGCATCTATAAATGCAGGATGAAACTCTACCATGAAAAGAAAAAACATATCTAAACATGATCCAGAAATGCCACCAACTTCTTTGGAGCCAAGCTCCAAAATGGAAAACTATCCTGTGGTCAAATTTCTGTTGAATCAAAATTTCAGAGTCGTTTTGGAAATCAGGAATGCCGTGTCCTCCGGGCTAAAGAGGAGAGTTACCGTCCAGCTTGTTATCAGTGGACAGTTCAAACGCCAGCATCTGTGATGGTATGGGGGTGCATTAGTGCCCATGGCTTGGGTAGCTAATACATCTGGGAAGGCACCATTAATGCTGAATGACATATGCAGGTTTTGGAGAAACATATGCTGCCCTCCAGACAGCATCTTTTTCAGAGAAGGCCTTGTATATTTCAGCAAGACGATGCCAAACCGCATTCCACGCGTATTTACAACAGCATGGTTCTGTAGTAGAAGAGTCCCGGTGCTAGATTGGCCTGCCTGCAGTCCAGACCTGTCACCCACTGAAAACATTTGGTGCATCATGAAATGAAAAAATATGACAAAGGAGACCCTGGACTGTTGAGCAACTGAAATCCTATAACAGGCAAGAATGGGAGAACATTTCGCTTTCAGAACTCCAGCAACTGGTCTCCTCAGTTCCCAAACATTTACAGAGTGTTGTTAAAAGAAGAGATGATGCAACGCAGTGGTAAACAGGCCCCTGTCCCAACTTTTTTGAAACGTGTTGCTGGCATCAAATTCAAATTGAGCTTATATTTGTCGTAAAATAATACAATTTCTAAGTTTCAACATTTCATATGTTGTCTTTGTTGTATATTCAATTAAATATGGGTTTATATGAACTGAAAACCATTGCATTCTGCTTTTATTTACATTTTACACAGCTTCCCTGTTTTTTGGAAACAGTGTTGTAAATGTTGTAAACCTTTCTTTTATTTACTTTCAAAGACTTGTAAAAGACTTTTAAACCAGGCAAAAATTGAACATTGAACACTGATGCGTATATCTGCAATAATAATAAGAACAATGTGAAGCAGGAGACACTGGGAACAACCAAAAACTAGCCAGGTAGAGGGTGGAAGCGACTTTCTAATGCCAGAGATGACCGTCGACGTATCCGGCAGTGCCTCATGAACAATAGTGTAATGTTTCTATGAATAAACTTTCCTTAAGAGAATCACTGTCCAAGGAGTTAAAGTGAACTAAACATAGTGAGTGACGCCACGATGAACACCTTAAGACAGGCAAGGCAAAACACAGGAAGTGGAGTCCAGTGAGACGGTGTCATTAGCACAGCAATGAAAACCTACTACCCACCATCTGACACAAAGACAGACAGCTTGTACACACGCACACACACACACACACACACAAGGATTGTACTTTTTCACGTGGCAACAGAGCTTGCTCTGTGACTCAGGAACCCCCCTAGACGCTGGTCTCTCCCCAAGGAGCCTCTGCTAAAACTGAGGTCACACGGCTATTTTCACACACTTAGTAAGGTCACTGTTTCACATCTTCTGCTCTAACTCCAAGACAACCGACACTTCATGAATCAAATCATGTAACTTCACTGTTTATCTTCTTAACTGTTATTTATGTACTTTTCCATAGC